CACACACACACACACACACACACACACACACACACACACCTGCACACATAAAAATTACCCTGAAGATTTTCTATTCATTTTGAAAAACTAGAAAATCTTGCACATGTTTTATAATGTTTCCTGTACTTAACAGAAGATTTAGAGTCCAAGTGTTGTGGTGCCCACTGGTTGATCAAATATGAATCCTACGAGTTTGTATAAGAACTGCTCCAGGCTGAAAACCATATAACATTCCTGAAGCATAATCAATTATAAAATTAAGTATATGCATGCCAGCATATGCTTTAAGCAACTAAAGAAATAGAGATGGGAGATAAAGTTAAGAAATGGTTGACTGTGAATGTGGCATATTAATTTTTAAAAACTAAATTGGGGGCTGAGGTTGTGGCTCAGTGGTAGAGCAGTCACCTAGCACGTGAAATGACCTGGGTTCGATCTTCAGCACTACATAAAAAATAAATAAAATAAAGGTATTTTGTCTAACTACAACTATATATATATATATATATATATATATTTATATATTTGTGTTTCCTCATACTGGGGGGAAAAACATGGCTAGAATGTGACTCAGTTCTTTCACAAGGTTTTAGATGAGATTCAAAATATTGGGTAAAGGTAGTCTTTCTTTAAAATTGTTTTATATAGTTGTAGATGGACAGCATTTCTTTATATTTTTATTTATTTGTTTACATATGTATGTATGTATGTGGTGCTCAGGATCGACTCCAGTGCCTCACTCGTGCTAGGCAAGTTATCTTCCACTGACTTACACTCCAGCCCAAGTAAAGGGAATCTTTTGATTAGTGCAATAGCATATAAAAATATAATTTTATGCTGAAAATTCAATTTTCCTTAGAAAATAAAAATTGCATAATTAAACTAAAATAGAAAAACTGTAAAATAAATGTACCTGTAAAATCAAGGGAAAATTTTAGTCCTGTCCTTTCCAGAATTCACAAAAAAATCCTTGCTTTTGAAAATATTTTTCAAAATATATTTGTCTCAAGAATCCCTGGAATGGCATAGTTTGCTTGCTATCAGCAGAAACTAGCTACATGGATTTGCTATTTATTTTGAAGATTGTCATCCTTTGTAGTACTTAACATAAACTTCTGGATGTAAATAAGGTATCAGCAAAATGTTGATTTACATTTTTTTACATGCCCTCCCAACTTCAATGTGTTCTCTATCTTTTTTTGTGTGTGTGGTTTGAATTTAATCCCAGTTGTGAAAACTTGATTAGGTACCAGCAAGCAACAATTTTAACTGTATTTTTCAATTCACAGAGGTTAAGAGATGAAGGGGCATATACTAGATAGCCAAAGGTATTTGAATCATTGCCACTTTTCTAGCAGGAAGCTAGAATGGGGGGAGCTCAAAATAAATTCAAGTAGAAGACACAAGTTTGTTGGATTCATCATCAAAATTGGTAACAGGGCTGAGAAAAACCAAAGGGAACAGCATAGATTCTCCATTTGTTTCCACATACAAGTGGGGTGCAGAGTTTTCAATAGTATTTACATTTCCTGGAGATGAAACATTCAGGGCTATACAATCATGGTCATTGAAATCTGATAAGACCAACGATGGATTCTTCAGATCATCCAAAAGAAGGTCATTAGAATTTTGAAGTCTTTCTCCAAAATCATTTTTTGGCACCTCTTCTAACAGGGAAAGCAGGGCATATTTCTTGTATTCTGCCACATGCTGTTCTGTGGAGAGACATTGTTTTGTTACACATTGTGGGAGAAGAGAGGGTAAGAAAAAATATAATCAAAATCTTACACTGCTAAATGAATCACAGAATAGAATGAGAGTTATCTTCTCACTATTCTGAGTTACACTCTTCAAAATAGCTATTGGAGGGGCATCTTATGCAAGAATAATGTGGAAGAATAATGTACTCTTGCCTCTGGTCCTAGAATCTAATATCAGCTTTCCTAATATACTTAATATTTCAAACTTTTGATGATTCTATAAGAGAAGAATGTGATGTGACTTTGTTAAAAATCTGTTTTTGGATTTAGGAATATCAGTAACCACTAGAATATAGATCTTTGTAGGATGCACTTCCTATAAAATCTAAGGCTAACTGTGGAGAATTAAGCTTAGTAAAAAACAAAGGACCTACCTTCTGAGAACTTGTTTGGATGTCATGTGAAAAGCCCAAATTCATTACAGCACATCCTTTTGAATACCTTTATTATGATTTTTGTCTTAAAGTTAGAGACATTATAATACATTCTCCCTTAAGTTTACATGGTATCAGAGAAAACATTCGGCAATTGTTTTTTTGGGACTGGCTAAACTTCACTTAGCATTATCTTCTCCAACTGTATCCATTTACCTGCAAATGCCATGATTTTATTCTCTTTTATTGATGAGTAAAATTCCATTGTGTAAAAACAAATGCTGAATGTTTTCTCTGACATAAGGTGACCGACTCATAGTGGGGTAGGGAAGGGGAACATCAGAGGAATAGCTGAACTCTAGATAGGGTAGAGGGGTGGGAGGGGAAAAGAGGGGGCATGGGGTTAGAAATGATGGTGGAATATGATGGTCATTATTATCCAGAATACATGTATGAAGACATAAATTGGTGTGAACATACTTTACATACAGAGATATGAAAAATTGTGCTCTATGTGTGTAATAAGAATTGTAATGTATTCCACTGTCATATATTTAAAAAATAAATTCAATTAAAAATAGTTTTCAGGGCTCTTTCAAATATATTATCTCATTTAATACTCATTTAATATTCATAAAAATTTATAAATCAAAAAAGCAATTATTATTATCTTAGTTTACACAAGAGTAAAGATGGGTTTGCAGAGGTTAAATGACATGCCAAAGGTCATTTAGATAGTAAGCTGTGAGGCTAGTCTAAAACATAAATCTTACCCCTCTACAAAAAAATCGTTTATACCTTTTCTTCCATTGGCTTCAAGTAGATTCCTCTCTCCTTCTTCACTATTCATTAAATCAAGAGTCTATAAAGGGAGATAAAATATTAGAATCTTTATCCATCAATCATTCTTGGAGATAAAGTTAAATACTTGATGAAAAAAAGACTATGTCTTGGGCCAGAGTATGTGCAGTACACACTTAGCAACCATGAGGCCCTAAGTTCAGTCCTCAGTACCTTAAAAAAAAAACTCTCTCGAGAGATTAACAAAATTGAGGGAAGAATGCTTCCATTTACTTTGCTTTCTAAAGGCTGTAGCTTTCTTTACTAACTGCTCTTTAGACAGAGGGGAAAAAATCAATTCATAGTGCAGCAAGAGCCAATTATGCGACGTAGGTCCAGTTGTCACTTAGCTTGAACTAATATTGACCAATATTTATTTGCCCAGACAAAAGCAAATGTGGTAAATATTGGATTTGAACCTGAGTGTTTGAACCTGAATGATGAGAATCATCAAATATGTCTAGTATGTCCAGAAAGAAAAAAAAAAAACACTTCTTTCAAGTTATCTCATCTAAACAATATATAACAAGAGTCAACACCCACAGGATCTAGCCCCATTACTTATTGGCCAATGACCAAAAAAAAAAGTTTCATCTAGAGAGCTTTTGTAGCTAGAGAAAACAGTTATGGGAATATACAAGGGTTTTATTTTTTCCTAAAATAGCAACAGCAACAATAAGATTTCACTAAGCTAAGAGAAACAGGCCTGTAAATATACTATTAAAGAAAATTATCTGATAGGAATTCAGTTTCCTTGCAATTCACAGGAGTATGAGGAAAGGCTTAACAAAAACAATTTTAACAAACAGATGCCCTGTTCTTTTTTGGTCCTATTATAATTTCCAGTCATAATCATGATCATTTACTAAATGACTATATCCAAACAAAGCATGATTTCTTACATAGATTAAATTTGGTTACCCATCCAATATTTATAAAGTAATACATTTAATATTCAGATATTTATCTATTACATAGTCTAAAATGCACAGATTTTCCATTTGTCAAACATTCTCATTAAACTGACACTCATAGCTAGGCATGGTGGTGCACGCTTGTAATCCCAGTGGCTCAGGAGGCTGAGGCAGGAGGATCACATGTTCAAAGCCAGCCTCAGCAACAGTGAGGCACTAAGCAACTCAGTGAGACCCTATCTCTAAATAAAATAAAAATAGGGTTAGGGATGTGGCTTAGTAGTTGTGTGTCCCTTAGTTCAATCCCCCAGTAGCAAAAAAAAAAAAAAAAGCCACCTATAGCCACCAAATTATGTCATAAAAGACAGGAAAGGGTATCCTAGAGTGTGAAGTAATGTTTAAGAAAATCAAGTATATGAGCAATGTGGTAATGGTCATTTTAATCCAGTCATACATATTTTCTGGCTGACAAGTATCTTAAAAATATTTCCTTAGTATCTGGGGGTATATAGCTCATGATAGAGTGTTTGCCTAGTATTCATGAGCCCATGAATTTGATCCCCAGCACCCAAAAATATTCCTTTAATTATTCTCTCTGGTCCCCTTGTCTATAAGAGACAAGTTCTAAAGAAAGTTCTGTTGTTCAGCATGGCAACTGATGTTAAAAAAGATACTTAATCTAACACATGGATCAGTTTTTGATTATATAGACAGGAATAGGATAAGATTCCTCTTTATGTAACTTATAAAGAAAGCAATTGCCAAGAAAAGCAACGGTTCACTTAGAAGTAATTTTTGATTTGAGATGAGGTGTCACTATGTTGTGCAGGCTGGCCTTGAACTCCTAGGCTCAAGTCATGTTCCTATCTTCTTAGTCTCTTGAATAGCTGGAATAATAGGTTGATCAGTAAATATGGCTTGTCAATTATATTAGTAGCCACCTGCAACTATGTGAACAAAGAAGTTCTGCTTCACTAAGTGGATCTCTGGGTGTCTTAAATATGCATGGAAGTAGTAAAATGTTGAAAAATACTAAGTTAAACTGGACTTTGCTATAAGTAGTCAATATTAAGGCATAGAAGAAAAAGTGAGGAAGGCAGATAAAGAATATAGATGGCATCCCTTAAGCCATCCTACTTCATTCACTTAACTGTCAAGTTTTTCTGCTAATAATCTACTATGGCAATCTTCATCATCAAAAATACAATATAGTGTCCCAGAATTGGATGATATATAAAAAGCAATAAAACAACTAGAAAAATAGATCTTACATCAATTTCTGCCATGACATCCATACTGGATAAAGTTTCAGTTTCGTTTGTCATTAAAGTAGGAAGTTTAGAACTGACTGGCTGTAAAGAAAAAAGAGAGAAATATACAACAACTTAAATTCTACACTGTTAGCTTAGGAAAATATTTTTGCACAACAGTGAGGTATAATGTGACAAGAAGAGGAACTTTGGATGTATGAAAAACTATTATTAAAGCATCACAAAATTCTACATAAAGGTATACTTATACTTTCATATTGACAATTTTAAAGGAATTGGAAGAAGGAAAATCACCACATAATAAAAAATAAATTATACTATTAGTCTGGGGAAGAGAGATATAATAACTACTTCAGTTTCTGGTTCAGAAAACCAAGATATAAACACCATATACACTAAATCAACGGAAAAGTTAAGGTAAGAATTCAAGTATTTTTTAATCCCAGGCATAATATTACCAGTGCCAATTGTCATATATCATTCTGCTTTTGGAATAATTTATGTAAATACAGCAAAATGAATTGATAGTCTTACCTCATTGACATGACCAGCATCACAGTTCACTTTCTTCCTAGATTGCAAGGACTTAATTTCCACCAGATTTCCTTCAATACCCTGCATATACATTTCATCCCTTAAATGAAAAATAGAGGGGTGGGGAAATCAACAAACTCTGCTGCCAAGCAGGATGAAGGTGGATGGAAAAAATGGTAATCTAACTGCCAGGAGACAATCTTTGAGAAAATACCACAAACATAATAAATTGCACAGATCATGGCAGGTCCTTGACCAAGAAACCACAAACCATATGGCATTTTCCAGTTACAGATATTTCACTTTCAGACTATAAAGCCTAATGCTATTCAGAAGATTTCAGTACATAATTCACTGGTTATAACTCAGCCAAAGCGGCCCACTTCCAAGTAACATACCAGAGTTTTCAACCTGAAGAGGCCTAGAAAAGAAGGATGGAAGAAAAACACGCTAGTCTGTTCCCAGGGAAAGCTATAATTCCACAGGATGCCCTTTTGTGAATTTGGTGCCAAATAGGATGATAAGTCACTGTTCCCAATCAAAAGGAAAAAAGTGAGATGCAAAACACCACAACAATGTAGCTAGCTAATCCAAATGACCTCTAGGTCTTTTCATTTATGAGATTCTATATACACCAAAGTTAGCTTTTGAAATGGCTACACTGCTCCAGTGAACAACACTCAGCCTGAATCTCGTCAATAGAGGAAGTGGGACACATGTCACCAGTTGTCAGTGAACAAAAAATAATGCATAGTTTGACTTTGTCCTTTGGTAGAGTTCTTGACTTCATTTTGTGGTGCCAGTCATCAGGAAAATCAGGTGTTCTGAGGATCATATATTTTATTATTATCAAATATTACTATTTAACCTAAGAATCCAAATGCCACTAAATTCTTAGTTTCCTATAACTTTGCCAATCTATTAGAACTTAAACTTCATTTTGGTGGCCAATTCAGGCAATGTTAAAGCAACTCAGAATAATTATCTCAAACAACAGTTGCTGTTAATGTTCTGAGGACATAATGTGCCCTAAAATTGGTAGATTATTTCATTGTCTAGAGAAGTTTCCTTTGAAACAGGTCCAAGGGTCTGTAGTGAAGTTTTGGATCAGGCTCAGGGAGCTTACAGGGCCCCCTTTTGGATGTTCTTGGGAAGCTACTTATGAGAAAAATTTGACCAAGGCCCACACATGACCTTCATCTTTCTGGGATTGGACAATAAATAAGGGAAAGTAGCAGGGAATAATACAAATATAAGATGGTAAAGCATGAAAACAGACTAATGTAAGCACTGCTGATGAAGGTGAAACTCCAGCTGACATCCCTCCTCCACAAGCCACTCAGTGTTGTCGTGAGTAGAGATCTGCTGACAACAGTGACTCTGTGGCTCCAATTTAGTAGTATTTCTGCTGAAGCACACACAACCTCTTAGTTTCAGGAAATGAAGACATCTTGTTTTTTTTTTTTTCTTCTAGTTCTGTTCCAAGCAGGAGGTTTCATCCTGCTTTCTGAGATAATTTTGAATATAAAATAAAGGGAAGATTTTATACTACCAATGTTGGGCTCTTATTTTCAGAAGACCACAGAAGGTGAAACACCAAATATATTACCAAAAAGTACATTTGCAGTATATAAGAAACAAAGATAATATCAGGACTGGAGGTGCCTAAGGGAAATGTTTCCTTAATTATATCTCCCAGAACTTACCATAATATTATGCTTTGGATAAACAGGTAATTTTCTAACTTCAGAAAAAGAACATATGTGTGAAAATCAATATCCAAATTTCCTCAGAAACACAAGTTCTACATCAGTGCTAAGTCCCAGGATAAAGTGTTGATCCTAATTTAGTTTTCCCCTTAAAAATGTCTGATTAGTTAAGGTTGCAAAATGAGAGTAGACTCAACTCAATATTCAACTGTGTAATCACAGATATAGCAAAGAATTATGCTACTGCTCAGCTAGATTTGGGGGTAACTAGCTATATACTTAGATTTCAAAGTCCTTATCAACATTCTAAATAATGTTTTGGGGTTTCACAGAAATAAAGGGCAAGAGTGGGGGTGGAGGTATCCTTCAAAGACTCTATAAGCTATTGTTATATCCCTGATTTTCTTTAGCTGTATCCAAACCCCAGACTGTAATTTAAAAAAAAACAAAACACTTTCCTCAAAAATATGTAAAACCCACTAGGTTACAGAAGAAAGATATTGCATACCTATTCATTATAGTATTAAATTGACTGTCTGATTTGTCTTCAGTAAAGATTGAATAATTATCCTCAGAAGGAGAAGACATAAACTCCAAAGAAATATTGTCAGTTTCCTCTCCTAAATAGTCTTCAGTCATTAGTTCTTGAAAATCGGGTATAGATGAATACATATCAACATCCGATGAATTTTCATTAATAGGTATATCCTGAATAGACATTTTAAGATCCTCTCTGAGAAACAACAAGAACATATTAATCAAAAATGATGTTAGAACTCAAATCATACAGGCTATAACACCTCCATCAGTTATATAATATATAAATATTTGCAATATTTAGAATAAATAACTTATGATATGCCATGAAGTTCTCCTTTCATTTCATTTATACATCATATAATACTATGTCCATGCCAACTGACCAGCCAATTGTTCTATCACCTTAACTTAATGAAAAAAATATTTATCAAACCCAGAATGCTATAATAAAAAATGACAAACAATAACAAGTGAAGGTGAGGGTATACAAAAATAGGATCTTCCACGTATTACTGGTGGAAATACAGGCAAAATGGTATAACCACTTTGGAAAACAGTTTGTAAATTTATTAAGAAGTTAAACATGCTAAGCATGGTGGCTCACACATGTAATTCCAGCAACTTGGGAGGCTGAAGTATGAAGATCACAAGTTCAAGGACAGTCTCAGCAGTTTACTGAGGCTCTGAGCAACTTAGTGTGACCCTGTTTCAAAATTTTTAAAAATTAAAAAGCTTGGGAAGCTGGGTGCAGTGGCACATGCCTGTAATCCCAGCTACTCAGGAGGCTGAGGCAGAAGGATTGCAAGTTCAAACCCAGACTCAGCAATTTAGCAAGGCCCTAAGCAACTCAGACCCTGTCTCTAATCAAATATAAAAACGGTCTGGGGATGTGGTTTAGTGGTTAAGTACCCCTGGGTTCAATCCCTAGTAACAAAAAATAATTTTCCATTCTATTCCATTAGTTTCTAGCAATTCCATTTTTAGGTATATACCCAAGAGAAATATGAACATAAATATTCTTCTGTGAATGTTCATTATTCATAGCCTCAAAATGGAAAATACCCAAAGTGTCAATTAACTAATAGGAAAGAAAACTGTGGTGAGCCCATAAAATGGAATTTTTTTATTTTTATAAAGAGCACTAATCTATGATATAACATGAATGAACCTTGAAAATATTATGCTAAGTAAAATAAGCCAGACAGAATAGACCATTTATTCTATCATTCTATTGATATGTAATATCCAAAGTAGTCAAATTGAGAGTCAGAAAGTAGGTTAGTAAACAGGCATGAAAGATTTCTCTGGGGTGATAAAAATGCTCTAATATGGGATGATGGGGATAGTTTAACAACTCAGTAAATTCAATACAAATTGAACAGCAAAAATTAAAATTAACAAATTATGTCTCCATAAAACTGTTTAGCTATGCATATATAAATCTCAGCTACATATTATTGTATGCATGTAACTATCATACATATAAGTATTCCTATCTATCCATTTATCATTTAGAGAGGCTATATAGCATGTTACAAATCAGAGCAATGGAATGGCACTATGAGGATCAGTAGTCAAAGCTCACAGCTCAAGTTTCCTTTCTGTTTTGTAGTCAATTTTGACTAGAAAATAAGCAGAATGGGACAACTATTTGCTTATCAATAAAGGAGGAAATACAAAGAAAAGACAAATGATTTTTGTATTGTTTCTCATGTAACAAATTATATAGTTTGTGTTGGGGTTCTTTGAACAAGGATGAAAAAGCTAAACAAACAAGTTAATTTTATCATAGGATTAAATATTTGTTTCTAATAGAACAATTAAGTTGATGTGTTACCATGATTTTCCATATTTTTTCTGACATGATATTTTAAGACACTACAAATATCTGTGATTGTGTAGCTTCCCTGAAACTTGAATTTTTAATTAGCTTCTAAGGTTCTTTGTACACATGTTCAAATATCATTCATCAAAATTTTAACATTCTAGATGTCATAAAGTCCCAGATCCACTGATTTCTTTCTTTCTTTGCTCTATTTAGGAAAGCTTTTGTGGTATACTCTGTTTTTAAAGATGTATCTATTGTCACCACTCTGCATCCTTGTTAACTTGTTGGACAGGGTAAAGAAAATGCATATATGCATCTCTTTCTGGGCCAGCAACCAGATGGATAGCTTACATGCTATTGGATTTAGCATACAATATCTGTGAAAAACTTTAATTCAAGGACTGATGTTGAACATCTATATCTCCTTCTCTAAAATGGCACCCTTCTCATTGTCTTGTCCCCTTAAGCACCCCAGCTCCCAGACCCTACTGACTCAGTGGCTTACTTCTCTGGATATACCAGGCTCTAAGACACACTGCTCATATCCATACTGACCTCCCCCTCCAACACTTATCTCTCCCCAAACATTCTATACCCTCAGGATTTCTTTGGATACTTCTAAAATACATCTCATAATATTCTTCTGAATGATTTTCCACTTGCATGCTCCTCCAACAGTCTTGTAGTCAAGTATCATTTTCTAGAACTTCCACCCTCCTGCACCACACTTAATGATTCTCCATTTGGTCTTTCTTTCTAACCATATAGACATCGTTGAGACTTAGATGTCTAAACAAAAAACTCTCTCCAATAGACATCCAAATATCTATAACACACACCTAAAAATAATATACACAACGGGGCTAAGGTTGTAGCTCAATGGTAGAGTACTTGCCTAGCACACGCGCATGCGCGCGCACACACACACACACACACACACACACACACACACATAGTATGTAAACACAATAGAATATTATTACTCAACCATATAAAGGAATGAAATCCTGTTATTTGTGACATGGATGAAACTGGAGGACCTTTTACTGAGGAAAATAGGCCAAACACAGAAAGATAAATACCACATATTCTCACTCATTTGTAGAAACTAAAATGCTGATCTTATAGAAGAAATGGTGGCCAACGGAGACTAGGAAGGGAAGGAGTGGGAGGAAAGAAAGAAGTTAAACAAAGGGCACTAAAACAGAGAGGAGGAACTAGTACTATTTGTCTATATAGCACAAGTAAGTATTGTTAAAACAATCAATATATTTCAAAATGACTAGAAGGGTATAACCTGATTTTATTACTGCACATTTGATACTGCACATGTATGAATAACCATACTGTAACACATAAATATGTAAAACTATTATGTCTCAATAAAAATAATATTCATGCATGATGGCACATGCCTAGAATGCCAGCTACTTATGAGGCTGAGCCAGGGGAATCACAAGTTTGAGCCCAGCCTCAACAATTTAGCAAGACCTGATCTCAAAATAAATAATAAAAAGGCTCAGAATGCCTATCTCTGATAGAGCACTTGCCTAGAACATACAATGGGTTCCCTACGCAGCAACCTCTACCCCCACTAAAAAAAAACCTCATGCTTATATTTTTATTTTCTTTAGCATGTATAGAAATTCTCAAATTTTCAGAACAAATTTTTTTGCCAACATATACTTCATATTTATTATTAACTTTATAGTATTTTTAAATTTAGTTTTTTTTTTGTCAAGAGAATTTTTTTCCACTAGAAGTTTTAACTGGCTATTGTTGGCATCTAAAAAAAAGTTACATATTATGTGTGTGTGTGTGTGTGTGTGTGTGTGTGTGTGTGTGTTTTAGTCAGCTTTTCTGCCACTGTGACCAAAAGAACTGACAAGAACAATTTGAGACAAGGAGAAATTTATTTGGTGCTCACAATTTCAGAGGTCTTAGTCCACAGAAGGCCAACTCCACAGCTGTGGGTTCAAGGTGAAGCAAAACATCATGGTAGAAGGGTATGGAGGAGGAAAGCAGTTCAGGACAGGGCAATCAGGAAGCAGAGAGAGAGAGTTCTCCACTCACCAGGGACAAAATATAAACCCCAAAGTCATGCCCCTAGTGACCCATCTCCTCCAGCTACACCCTACCTGCCTTCAGTTACCACCTAGTTAATCCTTATCAGTGGATTAATTCACTGAGTAAATTACAACTCTCATAATCAAATGTTTTCACTACTGAACCTTTTTAGATTCTCTCAAACATGAACTTTTAGGTGATATCTCATATCCAAGCCATAATCATATACAAATATCTTACATTAAGTAAATTATATTTTAATACCTTATTTCTTCAAAAATCATTTGCTGTATACATATTTTAAAGGGCCAGTTATCACTGCCCTATTCTGTTGTAATAAAATACAGGTTAAACATTTTTACAAGGATGTTTTGGTAGTCATAAGGAAGGCTGAACAAGAACATGAATGGTAGCCAGGTACAGTGGTGTAAGTCTATAATCCTAGTGGCTTGGGACACTGAGGCAGGAAGATCATGAGTTCAAAGCCAGCCTCAGCAACTTAGTGAAGCCCTAAGCAACTTAGCAAGATTCTGTCTCAAAATAAAACATTAGGGCTGGGATGGTGTCTCAGTGATACGGCATTTGCCTAGAATGTGTGAAGCACTGGGTTAGATTCTCAGCATCACATATAAAATAAAATAAATAAAATAAAGTCCATAAACAACACATAAAAGGGCTGGGAATGTTGCTCACACCCTGGGTTCAATGCCCAGATATGGACAGCAGTATGATTAACACTAAGGAAGAACACAAATGCATAATGACAGGACATCAGTTGTATTTTATTTTAGTAACTGAAGGAAAACATTATTTGTTCACTTAACAACAAAATATACCTCGTGATTTAACATACCTGTAGACTATATTATGATTCATTACCAGTACATTATCCACAAGACTGCTTACCCATCATCTCCAATTGCCTGGTCCATACATGAAACTAAGGTTTTAGATTCATCTTTCAAAGTAGGTATGATACTGTCAAGGAGATTTTTATATTTTTCTTCAATAAGTGTATAACCATTTTGTAATATCTGCATCTAAACAGGAAGGTTAGAGGAAATGAGAGTTGATCATGTACCTATGTATACATCTGGTCTTTCTCAGATCATATTTGATGTGATTCCCATAGAGAAACTTAACAATGGTATGAGAAATAATAACAGGTACTGGAAATTTAACTGACAGTAAATGCTCTGTTTTTACCCACCCACCACTATCATCTTATTCCAGAATCTTACAGCTTCTTTCTTCTTCTCCTCTGGAATATGGAAATACTGATGAGCACATTTGGAAGCTGAAGCCCCAGATTTAAGTGGAAATGACCTGCAACGAGATTCACATTTCAATGTTATAAGTTATCTTAATGTTGCATGGTCAGTAAAAGTATTGTATAGAACCTAAATATTAATTATCTTTTGTTAGAATGATTCCCACGAGACATAATGTTTTAGCATCTCAGCAACAATGTGAGCAAAGAAAAGGACCCACCACATTTTAATGAGAGGCAGCTTAGAAAAATTAGCAACAATTTGGAATATTACCACTATGTGCTAGCTTCCTTCTAAGTGTCTACATTAAGATATCCTAATAGCTTGCTTTTTTTTTTAAGTATACATTGGGTCAGCTAAAACTAAAACAAAGAGCTAAAGGGGAAACCAGACTCTTTGGAGTGATGCCTGATTCCAGAGCTGGGAAATGCAAAGTATAAATCAAGCCTAGAACATTCTATTATGTGAAAAGTAAAAATGCTCAAAGCAACAATATATCTGTCAATGGACATATTCTGATAAAGATTATAATCCCTTACTAAAATAAGAATCCATGATTCCATGTTGATATAAATAAATGAATAACCAGCAAAAAAAGAAAAAGTTCTTCCTTATAGTAGAATGTAAACAAAATATATAGAGAAATAATGTAATTAGAAGAGTCAAATTGTACAAATAGCATGCCAATAATCCCAGCTACTCAGGAGGCTGAGGCAGAAGAATGCCAAGTTCAAGGACAGCCTAGGAAATTTATCAAGACCCTGTCTCAACATAAAATAAAAATGGGCTGGTGGAGGGGTGTGTAACTCTGTGGTAAATCGCCCTTGAGTTAAGGACTACTTTAATGGAAAAAACATTGAAAAGAGTGTTTATATAAATTAAAAGTATCTCCTGGAAAGTTACTAAGTGAGAAATAGTAACTTAAGACTAGAGAAACTGAGGAAACACCCCTTGAATTCAAATGATCAAAGCTTACATCACAGATAATTACAGAAACTGACATTAGTTGTCTCTGACAATGATATACTAAGAATACAGAATCATTTCTTAGTTATACTACCAAAAATTACAATTGTTTTCTAGCCATGACACCACAGCAAACCCAAAGTGATGGATATTCTACAAAAATCATTGGCCTGTACTCTTCAAAAATGTTGAAGTCCATCAGGCATGGTGGTGTAGGCATATAATCCCAGTGACTTGGGAGGCTGAGGCAAGAGGATCTTAAGTCCAAGACCAGGCTCAGCAATTTAGCAAGACCTTGCCTTAAAATAAAATAAAAAGGACTGGAGATATAGTTCTGTGGCAAAGCACCCCTGGGTTCAATACCTTGAAAAGGAAAAAAAAACACCCCCTCAAAAAGCAAATAATAACAATCATCATCATCATCATCATCATCATCATCATCATCATTCTTAGGAAATACACATGAAATCTTAGGAACAATGGACACTATATCTTGAATTTCCTTTCAAATGGTTCAGAAAAAGTGTGCCTGTGTGTGTGTAAGGATAGGGAAGAAGGGAGAATAAATGATAATATAAAATGTTAAGTTGGAAATCTGGGTAAAAGCTCTATGGGAGTCACTTGTAGCATTCATATAAATTTTTATCAAGTTTGATTATATCAAAAATAAGTGTGAAGGAGGGTCCACTCAAATGTGAGGCAAAGCTCTGAAGTCAATGATTCCCCCCTACCTAGGTTTGAAATATAACTCTATCATGTATTAACTAAGTCACTTCAGATAAAGTAGTTAAATTTTCTTTTAGTTAATTCTCATATCTGTGAAATGGGGATAATGTTAGAGCCCATCCAATAGAATTTTTGTAATAATTAATTGAGATAGTCTATGTAGGGCACATAGCACACTGTAAATACTCAATAAATTTCAGCTATTATCTACTGGTTCAAAATAGCTTAATGAAATCTGAGGAATCAAGCTAATAACATGACTTTATTTCTCAGATACAACTACATGGCATATCACAAGGGAATATTTTACAATTATATACTCTGTCTTCTAAGGACTTATATAAAAATCCTATAATTTTAGGTTGCAAAAGACTGGGTAAGGTAAAGCTGGGAACTCCTGATCATATCAGAAATTGGAGGTAAAACATCTTTGCTCTTTCTGTCCAGGATAATCCCTTGTATGAAGAACCTCTATGAAAGTTCTACGACTCCTTAACAAAGTAGAGTTGGGGAGTACTTTTCAATCTATTCCAGAATAATCCCAGGAGATATGTTAAGAAGGGATTCTGAGGCTAGTGGTATAGTTCGATGGTAGAGTATGGATTTAGCATGTGTGAGGCCCTGGGTTTGATCCCCAGCACCAAATACATACATACATACATACAATAAAATGAACATGTTTATTTAAAAGTAAAGAAGTCCAGTTCTGTCTGGCTCCTTACAGAGAAGAAGCCTTAGAATGATTAGCCCTTAGTAGGCCTACAAAAGGAAGACAGAAAGAAAAAAATCATCCTGCAAGTAAGATTTAGCAACTAGGATATACCTATTGTATCATGCCTAGCAAAGTTGGTCTGTTATCAAGTACGAAAACAAAAGGAAAACCAAGATACACTGAGCTGATATGTGTGGCTTTTGTTGGTAGGTATTTTTTATCCTGATATCACACGTACAATTTGTACATGCTAAATTCTCTGATGTAAAAAAGAATGATCTTAGAAAAATTATAAAAGAGAATAAAGACACCTTCTGTAACCAAGAAAAGAATTGGAGTTAATAAATTCACCTTTTTCTATCTGTGTTTACCATGTAGTTTTCACCTATCAAATTCAACATAAACTGAAGAATCTGAAAAAAAATCATACAGAATAATTAATTAGGACATCATCTTTAATATTTAAGGAAATCAACAGGTAAAGAGGAAGGTAGAGACCTCATTAAGCACAACTAAATATTTTTTTAGAGAGAGAAAGAGAGAGAATTTTTTAATATTTATTTTTTAATTTTGGCGGACACAACATCTTTGTTGGTATGTGGTGCTGAGGATCGAACCCGGGCCACACGCATGCCAGGCGAGCACGCTACCACTTGAGCCACATCCCCAGCCCAATACAACTAAATATTAAAATTTAGTTGTGATTTATTTAATCTTTACCTTAAAAGTCTGAACTGAGGGGTTGGGGTTGTGGCTCAGGGGTAGAGTGCTTATCTGGAATGTGTGAGGCACTGGGTTTAATCCTTGGCACCATGTAAAAATAAATAAATGAAAAAATATTTTTTTAAAAAAGATTTAATTAATACCTGTGTTAAAAGTTGCTGTTGCTTGCAGTAATTCTGTCTTAGCTCTGTCACTTCAAGCCAAAGTGTTGCATATTTCCTACAACATTAACAGATTCCTCAAATGAAACAGGACAGAAATGTTTCTGTAGAATTTTGTATATATATATCAAATATTATATTGAGTTGTCTGAGTTAATAGTATTTAAAATGTTCTTCAGATTTTGAGACTGACACACTGTCTACTGCGTTAAGGAAGCAGACTAAATCTAAGTACCAAAATAATAACCCAAATAACTTAATCAGGCCAAGGACCTGAACAGACACTTCTCTCAGAAGATGATATACAATCAACAAATATATGAAAAATCTTCAACATCTCTAGCAATCAGAAAAATGCAAATCAAAACTACTGTAAGATTTCATCTCACTCCAGTCAGAATGGCAGTTCTTAAGAATACAGACAACAATAAGTGTTGGCAAGGATGTGGGGAAAAAGGAACACTCATACACTGCTGGTGGGACTGCAAATTGGTGCAGCCAATATGGAAAGCAGTATGGAGGTTTCTTGAAAAATTGGGAATGGAACCACCATTTGACCCAGCTATCCTTCTCCTCAGTCTATACCCAAAGGACTTAAAAACAGCATACTACAGGGACACAGCCACATCAATGTTTATAGCAGCCCAATTCACAACAGCTAAACTATGGAACCAACCTAGATGCCTTTCAGTAGTTGAATGGATAAAAAACTGTGGCATATAAACACAATGGAATATAACTCAGCAATAAAAGAGCATAAAATCATGGCATTTGTAGGTAAATGGATGGAGTTAGAGAAGATAATGCTAAGTGAAGTTGGCCAATCCCAAAATACCAAATGCCGAATGTTTTCTCTGATGTAAGGATGCTGATTCATAGTGGGGTAGGGAGGGGGAGCATGGGAGGATTAGATGAATTCTAGATAGGGCAGAGAGGTGGGAGGGGAAGGGAGGGGGCAGGGGGTTAGAAATGATGGTGGAATGTAATGGTCATTATTATCCAAAGTACAGGTATGAAGACACGAATTGGTGTGAATATACTTAGTATACAACCAGAGATATGAAAAATTGTGCTCTATATGTGTAATAAGTATTGTAATGCATTCCACTGTCCTAATTAAAAAATTAATTAAAAATAAAAGTCTCAAAAACATGTTCTTCATGAAGATTGCCACCTCCCATTATCCTGCCTGAATATTTCAGGTTTAAAATTTAATACTTTTCAAACTTTGTCAGTGAATTAGTCCATACAGATATCACACTAATTTTTCTCTTTTTTGTATGTGGTGCTGGAGACCAAATTCAGGGACCTGTCCATGCTAGTCACATGCTGCACCACTGATCTACACCTCTGTATCACACAGTAATTTTTTTGAGAGCAAGACTACTATTAAGGTAGTCTCTTCTAGACGGGAGAATCTGAGAATCATTAAAACCCCATATACTTCTTTATTTTCATTTTTTTAGTTGTAAATGGATATAATACATTTGTTTATTGATTGATTGTTTTCATTTCTTAAATACATGACAGTGTATTATGTATAATATGTGTTCTATATGTATAATACAATTCTTATTATACATATAGAACACATTTTTTCATATCTCTGGTTGTATATAAAGTTTGTTCACACCAATTCATGCCTTCATACATGTACTTTGGATAATGATATCCATCACATTCCACAATTATTGCTAACCTCTTGCCCTCTCTTTTCTCCTCCCACCCCTCTGCCCTATATAGAGTTCATCTATTCCTCCCATTCCGCTCTCTATCCCACTATGAGTCAATCACCTTATATCAGAGAAAACATTCAGCATTTGTCTTTTGGGGATTGCCTAACTTCACTTAGCATTGTCTTCTCAAACTCCATCTACTACCTGCAAATGCCATGATTTTATTTATTTGTTTGTTTGTTTGTTTCTTTGTTTTTATGTGGTGATGAAGATCAAACCCAGTACCTCACACGTGCCAGGCAAGCACTCTACCACTGAGCCACAACCCCACCCCCACAAATCCATATACTTCTAATGTAGTCATAACATTCATAGGATTAGGAATAGAGAAATAGTTCATAAAAGGCTGAAAGAATACTTAAAACTCTAGGATGGTGGATTTATGCCAAACTAACACATCTATACTTTTACTGAATGGTATGACAAGAGACACTTTGTACCAGATTAAGAGACTAAATTTCCTATACAGAATGGCTTTTAAATGTGTTCTAATACAATCCAAATTCCACAATGGGAAAGTATCACAAATTTTGGGCCAAAAGAAACCTCAGAAGGCCATCTAGTTCACTATTGCCCAATATTTTCTGGTCTGTTTTACCTATAAAACAAGCCAGAACCCACTGGAGGATCATCAACCACATGATGTATCTGTAGGTTATGGTTAACGTTTAACAACAGGCTGATATCCAGAATTAATATGAAGGGTTGGCTCATGGTCAATGTCAATGAAAATCTGGGCTTATATTCAATGTTGATGAAAAAGCAAGAAAACTACTTCCATTCTCCTTACTTCCTCACTCTTTTTCTCCCTTGATGAATATGAAAAGTTTAATTTACTAAGTCAATTACAAAAGATTGAATCATGAAATTAAAGGTACATTTGCAGTTCATCAAAAGATTTGGAAAGGAGTTCAAGTTTAATTTGAATACTTATGAACATTTACTGGAAAATATTCACATACATCTCTAAGAAAAAATAGGTTATAATTTTTTATCACAGGTATTATTTTGAGACTGCTTAACCATTTAAATTTTGCCTTTGAACACTATATTCTGAATAAAGGTTAGAATAACTGTATGCTATATTCTGTACATGGTAACTCCTCAGAAAGCAATGAAATACATCTTAAAGTATGCATTTCACAGAAAATTTTAAAAAACTAGTCCAAGGAAAGAATTAGCCAGGAATTTAGGTCAGGTTACTTAAATACAGAACCTATATATTTTTCTGTTTTCTATTGTCAAATGAAAACTGCTATATGCTATACCACTCATGCCTGCACCAATAGTTTATTTCTGATTTATACAGTGGTCTTCTAGTCAGCCACAATTACATGATCTGAGCCACTGGCACATTAGCAGCAGTCCAAACACTAAAGCATTTGATTCAGTGCTGCGGTTTAACTTGAAAGAAACCTCATTAAATTGCCATGGAAAACAAGAGTTCAGTTTCTCAACTCAGAAGCAATCAACCTTTAAACCTTGGAAACAGACATTGGAAATCTTGATAAACACCCACTTTTTCAGTTCTGCAAATTTGGCATCCATGCTACTCTGCTTGTCTGTCATATCCTGCACTTCACTCATTATTCTCTGCAACTCACGAGGGTAAGTTTTGACATTCTCAATTTTCATTGTTGGCACCTAAAATGAAAACAGAATACAGTCGGGCTGGTTAGAAATTTCACATATCATCAACTCTCCATTATTGGCACTAATGGAAGGGAAAAGATGTATGATTAATCTAAAACAGTAGACTGAATTCTATAAATGTGCCTTTATGGTAGCACGAAGCAAACTATGCCTCATATTACAGTTATTACATACATTATCATCTCTCCCACTAATTGAAAGATAGTCTCCTTCTATCCTTCTCACCATTACCTAGAACAATACCTTACACAGAAGAGATCTGCAATAAATATTTCCTAAATTCAGCATATGTTGAGTATAATTTACATATTAACAATAGTGCAAATATGGGTAAGTCACAGTTTCTATCCCCAAAGAATTGAAAAAGCCTACAGAGAGAATAAAGTATGTATTATAGCAAAACAGAAAATCTAAAAGACAATTATACATGACTTTGACACATATGGAAGTATATTAACTTAGATAGGCACTCTCATAAATATATTTCATTATATTTAAGTTTTAGCTCTGACCCTCACCTAGTTATTTCCTGTTGGGAGCTATTATGATCAGTGTTGGGGAGGGGCTTTAGATTATGGATAATCTACAATGTGGTTAATTCTCAGAAACAATCCAAGTTAGACTATAGATTCATTTTATAGGCCTGCTGCGATAAGTGCATACTGCAGTATGTATTTTATAAAAAGAAGCACCATGCTAAGAAGGCTTTATAATTTAATGCAGAATAATGTCTATAATAACATTGTTGTAATTATTTCCACAGGTGGTGACTGAACAGGCTTTAATGATTTAGATCTCTGCTGTTGGTGGGAGTATACCTATAAGGTGCATTATCATCATATTTGTTAGATCTTTAAAAACTCTCACTCATTCATTATCTCATGGTGTACATACAATAAAAGTTTTTAATCTACATTAAACACAGATGAGAAGTAACAAAAACAAAACTTTAACAGAATAAAGCAACACATCATGTTACCAATTTCTCTAAAATTAATCTTTACGTCATGCCACTAATATGTGTGAGACTGGCTTCTAGCAAAGAAGAAACTAGAGGTTCTAGGACCCTTAAGTTGAAAGTCTGGAATTCTGAACAAAAGCTTCCAGTATATTTTTACCTGCTGTAAACTTGTCTAAGGACTAAGCTGACTATCAAAGATTGCTTATATAAATTTTACAGATCAGAAGAGTGGCATGGTGGTACATTCCCATAATCCCAGTGACTCAGGAGGCTGAGGCAGGAGGATCACAAGTGCAATTCCAGCCTCAGCAATTCAGTAAGGCCCTAAGCAATTTAGTGAGACCATGTCTCAAAACAAAATGGGCTGTAATGTTGCTCAAAGGTAAAGTGCTTCTGGATTCAATCCCCAGTACCAAAATTTTTTTTAATTAAAATTAAATAAATAAAAAATTTTTAGATCAAGAAAGTTAGATGTTTAGACACAAACAGATGCTATCTAGGAAAAGCAGTATGCAATAAATGGAAATTGAGTAGCACAGATAATAAATTGTATCAAGATTCAGAAGAAGGTATAATTATATTTGCAGTGAAACAGATACCTGTTTTCATTCTTTAATAAATGAAAAAATTGCTTGTCCTCTTTGTAGGCCATAACCTGGTCATCTTCTCTGTGGAGGGTATGTATCATTTCCCAAATATTCACTAAACCGAAGAACTTAAAAGCTAACAAGTATACTTATACAAGAAAAACACATTTAAAGTTTTTTGTTTATTAAAATAAGAAATTAAAATAAGCCAGGTGTGGCAGTGCATGCCTGTAATCCCAGTGGCTAGGGAGGCTGAGGCAGGAGGATCGTCACTTCAAAACCAGCCTCAGCAACATAGCAAGCCCTAAGCAACTCAATGAGATCCTCTCTCTAAATAAAATATAAAAAGAAGTGGGGGATATGGCTCAGTGGATAGTGCTCCAGGGTTCAATCCCTGCTACCAAAAACAAAAAAAGAAAAAGAAAGAAATTAGCCTATACATGAGGCCCTAGTTTCAATTGCAGGCACCAAATAATAATAATAATAATAATAATAACAACAACAACAACAACAACAACAACAACACTGTTGAGTTCATATATCTAAATATTACTCCGAATGAGAGCAAAAAAAAGTGTTCAGAAAGTGGGCATGGTTGTGCACGTCTGTAATTCCAGCAGCTGGGAATGCTAAGGCGGAAGGATCTTGAGTTCAAAGCCAGCCTCAGCAATAGTGAGGTGCTAAGCAACTCAGTGAGACCCTGTCTCTAAATAAAATAAAAAATAGGGCTGGGGATGTGGCTCAGTGGTGCAGTGCCCCTGAGTTCAATCCTAAGTACAAAAGAAAAAAGAAAAAAGTGCTCAGTAGTATATTTATATGGCTTATATTTATCACTTGGGAAATCCCAAGTGACTCCTTTTCAACTTATGGGATAATTATTCACCTTTTTTTATAAACTGGGGATTGAACCACTGAGTCATATTCCCAGTCTTTTTAATTTTTTTTTTTTTTTTGGTTTGAGACACAGTCTCACTAAGTTCCTGAGGGCAGGGTGAGGCTGGTCTTGAATTTGCAATCTTCCTGTCTCAGCCTCCTGAGTCACTGGAGGCAAATGCCACAGTGCCCAGCTGATTCATCTTAATTTAGCTTTGTTCTTCATTCTTCTACCTCACAGAATGGGAAGGTCATTCCAAGGTCACCACATCTAAGATGAAGACTATGGTTTTATTTATATGGCTTATATTTGTGAACATTTACCATATCAGAATTTAAATTTGATAAAATTTTGAATATTTATTAATTTCTGGGCACAGTGGTGCACACCTGTAATCCCAGTGGGTTGGGAAGCTGAGACAGGAGGATCACAAGTTCAAGACCAGCCTTGGTAAATTAACAAGGCTCTAAGCAACTTTGTGAAATCCAGTCTTAAAGGGGAAGGGGGGAGATTGGGGAGACAGCCCACTGGTGAAGCACCCTGGGGTTAAATTCCTAGTACCAAAAGAAATTTACAATAATATATACATTATGTATTAATATTAGAGTGATGATGCAATCAGACATCATGTAACCTTGGAGATATTCCACTGTACTCAGGAAAGAATAAAGAGTGAAAAAAGCCAAGAAATCTTTGTATTATTAAGAAAATAGTTTCAATCTCACAGGTCCCTGAAAAAATGTCTCAAGAAAGTTAGGGTGTTCACAGATCATATAATGAGAACCACTAATCTAAGTGATAATCCAAATCTTTCTGGTTTTGATTTTGGTCTTAAACTTCCAGTACACTGATGTCATCTATACATAGGTTCATGAAAAGTATCTACAGACATAGACATCTCATGAATGGAAAACTTTATTACTATTCTGCCTTGACTAATAATTAGCTCTGGGAGTAAACAGGCAAGTTCAGCAGTTATCTTGTATGTTAGGAAAAAATATAGTTACTAATTTATAATTTAACCTTGTCTCTTCTGCTTACTTGCTAAAATGTTATATTCCCTTCTGCATGAGAAAAAGATGAAATGGCAATAAAATATACCAAGGAAGCATAATAATAAGTCTATAGATAAACTGATATCTAAAAGTCATCTTTCTAGAGAACTGGAAAAAGTACCTAGCAAAAGAATTTCCAATTGCCAAATTCCAGCAACTTGACCCTTAAAACTTACAAAAACTGAAATATTTAGATTAAGGAAAAACTAGCCACTGCCCAAAATGCTACAGAAGAGTTTGTGGCAACAGTCCCCTTACCTTGCGCTTGATGTTTTCTAGAAGGCTGGATCCTCCCTTTTTGAAGAATGGATGTTGAAATTCCATAGTTAATGTCTTCCCTTGTAAAACCTTTCCATTTTCCATTGCAAGCACCTTTCGGAAACCATCTAGTGAAACAAAAACACAAAGATAATAGAATAAACTCTGAAAGGAAAGCTAGAATCACTAGAATAAATAAGAAATAATGTGAAATATTTTACTGGACTACATACTAAATTAATGTACCATAATAGCCTAATTTCAAACTTGAGAAGTGAAATCTCAATAGCTTATTTTACTTTGTTTATATGAAAAGATATACGATTTTAGAGTACTAGTGTGAAAGCATGGACCATTGAAGATCTATATATAATTCTCAAGACCCATATTAAGCAATAGCTTCAAATTTTGCAATATTCCCTATATGTAGTGATTTTATTATCTCAAAGGTAAAAATGGGAAAAAATTAGTGATTTGTTTCATCCTCTTTTAGTGTCTTTCTCACCCTTTAAAAACCATGAAAAGGAAGGCAGTATGAGAAGGGGGAAGCTTGAAACACTTGGAGAGATAACAAACTAGATCATATGCTTCTGAAAAATCATGAACGAAAAGCCAAATAATCCAATTAATAATGGACTAAAGATATAAGTAGAGATTTCACAAAAGAAATACAAATGATTAACAAACATATAAAAAATGTTCAACATGTAGTTATCAGGGAAACACACACCAAAACCACCATGTGATATTACATCACTCCAGTAAAAACAGAGATTATCAGACAGTCAAAAATTGGGTTTGATCTTCAGCACCACATAAAAATAAATAAATAAAATAAAGGTATTAAGTCCAGCTACAAGTAAAAAACATTTAAAACAAATAATGTGCTGGTGAGAATGTGGTGAAAAGAAAGCTCAAAACACTGTTAGTGGGGTATAGCCAGTACAGAGGCTCCATAAAACATTAGAAATAGATCTACCATAAGATCCAGCAATCCTTCTGAGTATATATCCAAAGGAAAATAAAAATCAGCATACTAATGAGATTCCTGCACTTCCATGTTTATTGTAACACTATTCACAATAGTTAAGATAAGGAGTCAACCTAGGTGCCCATTACCAGATGAAAGGATAAAGAAAATATGGCTTGTATATAAAATGTAATATTCTTCAGCCACAAATAAAAATAAAATCCTGTAATTTGCAGCAAAATGGATAGAAATGGAGGGCATTATGTCAAACATTATGTCAGATACTGAAAGACAATGTTTTCTCTTATATGTGAAAGCTAAAAACATGGACCTGAATGCAGAAAATAATGGTGATTACCAGAGGTTTCAAAGTGGTAGGTGGGTTGGGAGGGTGGATATAAGGAAGTTGGATAATGGGTACTAAAACATAGCTAGATATCAGGAATAAGTTCTGGTGTTCTCCAGCTCAGAATACCTTATTATATATTTTGGGAAGATACAGAAGAGAGATCAAATGATCCAAACATAAAGAAACATAGGAGGGGGAAAAGCTAATTACCCTAATTTGATCAATGCATGCTGTATATAAAATATCACGCTGGAATACAGTGGGACATGTTTATGGTCCCAGTTACTGAGGAGGAGGAGGTAGAAAGATCACTTGAACTAAGGAGTTCAAGGTCAGCCGGAGTATAGAAACTAAGATTCTGTCATTATATATATATATATATATATATAATGTGCATTTGTATTATATAGTATGTATTGTACACAATATATAATATATAATGCATATGTACAATATAATATTGGATATTATATAATATATGTAATATAATATCATATATTATGTAATGTATATAATATATGCATTATGTAAATACTATTACATATTATATATCAATAATTTATATCTCACTGAACTCCATTAATATGTACAAAAAATAGATGCTAAGCAAATAATAAAGTAAAATGAAAGCAACAACAAAAAATCATCCTTGTGGGGGCTGGGGATATAGCTAAGTTGGTAAGAGTGCTTGCCTAGCATGCACAAGGCCCTGGGTTCAACCCCCAGCACCACAAAAAGAAAAAAAAAATCATCCTCGTTATTTTTTTTTAAAGAGAAAACAGAGGTAATTGTGTATGAATGAAAGGCATTTTTTTATTTTGCTTCTTAGGGTCTTCTTTTTCTAGAACTTGAACTGCAGAAAGTACTTGTTTCATTAATCATTTTTTTAAAATATTTATTTTTTTAGTTATAGGTGGACACAATATCTTTATTTTATATTTATGTGGTGCTGAGGATCGAATCCAGTGCCTCATGCATGTTAAGTGAGTGCTGTACCACTGAGCCACAACCCTAGCCCCTCATTAATCATTTTTAATATTGAAATGCCAGCATTTTTCTTATTACCTATTTTCACTTGTGAGCTTAAGCAAAATGTTACAGGTCTCATTGTCACCACTGCAATACATATACTGTGATAGAAGCATAAACTGTGTCAATTTAGCCACACTGACCAATTTTAGACACTAATCCACAGTGCCTATTCTCATCTAGAATGAGGGTTGAGACAAGGTCTTGATATGTTGCCCATGCTATCCCCAGACTCACAATCCTCTTGCCTCAAGCTTCTGAGTAATCCTCAAGTGGGATTACAGATTTCTGCCACTGTGTCCAGTTTATAAGTAATTTTATTTTGTACTAGTGATTAAATTCAGAGTTGACTTATCTACTGGGTGACATCCTTAGCCTCTAATTATTTATTTATGTATTTAGAGGCAGGGTCTCTCTAAGTTGTTTAGCGCCTTACTTAGCTGCTGAGGCTACCTCCAACTTGCAATCCTGCCACAGCCTCCCGAGTTTCAGGGATTACAGGCATACCCCACAGTGTCCTGCTTTTATATGTCTTTTATACATACACACACACACACACACACACACACATATTAGTTGTAGATGAATACACAATATTTTTATGTGGTTCTGAGTATCGAATCCAGTGCCTCACACGGGAGAGGCAAGCGTTTTACCATTGAGCTACAGCCCCATTCCTTATATGTCTTTTTTCTTAAATCATTTATTTATTCTAATTCATTATACATGATGGCAGAATATAATTCATTTCATATTACACATATATAGCACAATTTTTCAAGTCACTGATTGTACACAAAGTATTTTCACACCATTCGTGTCTTACATACATGTACTTAGGGTAATGATATCTAACTCACTCTACCATCATTACTACCCCTTTGCCCCCTCCCTGCCCCTCTCCACTCTTTGCCCTATCTAAAGTTCCTCCATTCCTCCCATGCTTCTTTCCCATCACCATTACAAGTCAGCATCCTCATATCAAAGAAAAGGCTTTTGGTTTTTTGGGATTGGCTAACTTCACTTAGCATTACATTCTCTGACTCCATCCATTTACCTACAAATGCCATGATTTTATTCTCTTTTAATGCTGAGTAATATTCCATTGTGTATACATACCAAAATTTCCCCATCCATTCATCTATTGAAGGACATCTGGTTGGTTCCACAATTTAGCTATTGTGAATTGTGCTGCTATAAACATTGATGTGGCTATGTCCCTGTAGTGTGCTGTTTTTAAGTCCTTTGGGTATAGACCAAAGAATGGAATAGCTGGGTCAAATGGTGGTTCCATTCCCAGTTTTCCAAGGAATCTCCATACTGCTTTCCATATTGGCTGCACCAATTTGCAGTCCCACCAGCAATGTATGAGTGTTCCTTTTTCCCCACATCCTTGCCAACACTTATTGTTGTTTGTATTTTTGATATCTGCCATTCTGACTGGAGTGAGATGAAATCTTAGAGTAGTTTTTTTAAGTTGTTGATAGACCTTTATTTTATTTATTTATATGGGGTGCTGAGAAGTGAACCCAGTGCCTCACACATGCCAGGAAAGTGAGCTACTGCTGAGTCCCAGCCCCAGCACCTTAGAGTAGTTTTTATTTGCATTTCTCTAATTGCTAGCAATGTTGAACATTTGTTCATATGTTTTGTTGATTGATTATATGTCTTTTAATGTAAGAAAAAATGTCACAAACATGACTGCATAACTAATTCAGAGAAGGTATAGTTGGAACTAGTAAGGTATACTATCTGAAAAAGAGGAATCAGGCTGGGGCCATAGCTCAGTAATAAAGTACTTAACATGTATGAGGCCTGAGATGCATTTCTAGTACCTCACATACACACACAGCACAACTGTCAACTGTCACTTACCAGGTGCAGTCATATGTGCTGATTAATAGGGAGTTGGGAAAAGATGGCAATGGCAGCATGAGTTATTTCAAATAATTGTTTAAACTAGACATGGCTTACCCATTCTATTTCTTTTTTAAATACCTTTATTTTATTTATTTTTATGTGGTGTAGAGGACTGAACCCAAGGCCTCGCACATGCTAGGCAAGAGCTCTACCACTGAACCACAACCCCAGCCCCCTATTTCTTTTTTAAAAAATAGTTGTAGATGAACATAATACCTTTATGTTATTTATTATTTTATGTGGTGCTGAAGATAGAACCCAGTACCTCACATATGCCAAACAAGTGCTCTACCACTGAGCCACAATTCCAGCCCACCCATCCTATTTCTTTAATTTCATTTAGGAATCTGGATTTATGAACATATTCAGAGATTCATAGTTCACAGAAACTAAGCAAGGAAGGGAAAAAATTATATCAGTAGCTATTTGCCACAGTATGTATAAAATAAAAATACTGTTTCTGAAACATTATTTAATGTTTTCTCTTATATTAAGAAATCTAACATTCCTTTACTGCCTTCCCTCAGGAAGACATCTAAAAAGATTCTGTCCTATTCCAAATTGTGAATAATATATTTTTAAATGAGCTGATTATAAAGTGAATCACATCCTTTATGCCATCATAGACTAACAGCAATAGTTGGTATAGTAAGTCTCTTTCATGAACTTGAAACATCACTCATAAATTTTGGGGGGGTAGCAAAAGGGAAATTATTATTCTATATTTGAACACAAGTCTGAAGAATGACTAAAATTTATGCCTTTAAATTATTTGTCTTTACTTTCAAAGTTTCATAATTAAAAAGATCAGCATATTTTAAGAGAATTTAAACTTTTTCTTAATGTCATGAGGAATCTCA